TCTTTTGCATTATCTTCTTTTGGCGAAATCGTTGTTTCTTCATTCATAACATCAGAATTCGTTGATGAATCAAATGAAGAATCATTACTGGAATGATTGTTTTAAAACGTAATCGTTGACATTGTTGTGAGTTGATTTGTGAACCATGCATAAGATCAGATGCAAAACGTGGGATCTAGGAACTTTTTTGCTTCATATCTCGTCGACATAATGATAGTCTCTTTTTGTAGAACGATTGGACTGAAAGCCTTAAGAGTAAGTTCAAACGTGAACGTCGTCCACTTCAACAAATGTCTGAAGAAGTTCTAAAGAGGAAGCTGAAATTTGGTAATTCTACTGGCCGTCCGGTCAAGCAAAATGATAATGTAATCGCAGCTCGTCGTGAAGTAAGTGTTAATCAAAACACATGTATATAAAATCAGTCGTACAGTATAATTGATTATTTTTTTTCTTCAAGGTTCAAGTTGAGTTTTGGAACAAAGCAGATGCTAACGATGATCCTCAAGATTTTGATGAACATATTCAATTTATGAAGAACGAATTGGTAAAGGAAAACTTTGATTTGGATAGTGTGAAAGTCTCCTGGAAAAAAACACTGGTCGCAAGAAGATCGTATGTTCAAAACCACACGACTAAAGAAGTTCTTCAGGAATATCCTGGTTACCGTAATGCCTCGCTGGTAAGCACATTCTTATCATTTGTTTCGATTTTAATCGGTATCTCAATCCTTGCCAATAGCGACAACGGTTTTTTAAATTTCTAACAAGTTTTTGTTTTTAAGATCTTCGACGAAATTCAGTATTTATGTAATGTTGACATTGAAGCGAATTTAGGATCTATGTTACCAAAATTACTTAATGATATGCCCGATAGTTTTGGTTTTGTTAATGGTAAGTAACTAGTCAGGTTACTCAAGATTTGTTCATCTGTTTCATCATCCCATTTGATATTTGTATTAGAGATCCCTGTTCCCTTCTCGATGTTCTTTTATTAAGATTCAAAAGAGATAACGTTAAGCGAGAGAAGAGAGGATATATATAAGAGAGAATAAAGCATCAAGGAATGCGAGTTGAATAAGCACATTGTGAAGAAAGAAGTGAGTCAAGAAATGTAAACATATGACTGTAACAATTTGTTTAGATCTTCCAACTGCTCGTTTGATCAAGCTTTCATCTCGATGCTTTACTGATTCTTGGCAATATGTCTTGACATACAAAGTAAGCTTAAATTTTTCAGAAAATAGAAACTACTGAACAATAGCTAGATAATCAAAGAATATCATATTTATTTAAATAAAAATTCACCCACTTTTTTCTATATCATTAAGGAGCCACCATCTCCTCGTCCAACAATACAAGTAACAACAGATAAATTCGTGATTTATCTCGATTATGATGCCATTACTGAAACAACATCAATCGATCAAACTTTATGCATTATTATCGCTTTATATGTTATATTTGAACTACAATTTGGGACGCATAATAGAATTATACATCTACTATATGGGATATTATTACAAGAACCAGCAGCATTAACAAAACAATTACGGCTTATATTAAAAGAGTGGAACTTCACAATTGATAAAAAAAGAACGTAAACAAACAAATCAATTGGTTAAAGTTACATGTACCAACAATGATACACATACAGCTTCGACCAAGGATTTGACAGACTTAGAAGAAAACGAATCTAGTAGTGTATCCGATGAAGCACTACAAGAAGATTTTACAAGAACAACAGACAAATTACATCC